TGCAAATGAATATCAGCTGCTAATTGTTCAAGACAATAATATAGTTTCTAAACCTTCACAAATTAAGTGAATATATTGAATAAATAGTATAGTTGTCAGGCAGGAACAAATTAAAATGAGAATATGTTGCAGGGTGAAGGATATACATTTTATCGTAGCTTCTCTAGTTGCAATTTGTTTTGTCACTCCATTTCACACTTTGTATCTGTGCGAGTTGTTTGATTGTAAATTTTCCCTGCAGGCTCTTCTCATGTGGTACTAGCAAAGATGGTGATTCACACTTGGTTGAGTGGAATGAGACTGAGGGAGCTATTAAGAGGACATACAATGGTTTCAGGAAGCGCTCACTGGGTGTTGTCCAGTTTGATACAACAAGAAACCGCTTCTTGGCTGCTGGAGATGAATTCGTTGTTAAATTCTGGGATATGGATAACACCAACATACTTACAACAACAGATTGTGACGGTGGACTGCCTGTTAGTATAGTTTCTCCTAGTATCATGTTGTCGGAATCATCTACACTTAAGGTTTTGTGCTTAACCTCATGCTAATAATTTTGCAGGCGAGCCCACGCTTGAGATTCAACAGAGAAGGTTCATTGCTTGCTGTTACAGCAAATGAAAATGGAATAAAAATATTAGCCAACACTGATGGACAGCGTTTGCTAAGGATGCTAGAGAGCAGAGCATATGAGGGCTCTCGAGGGCCACCTCAACAAATTAATACCAAGGTATTGATGCATATACTTACCATTTTTTTAATGTTCCCTTAAATCCTAGTGTCATTAGGGTATAAAGATAACATTGATTCGCGTATTCGGAAAAAAAGATAACATTGTTTCTGTTCTCTATTATAACCTTGTTTTCTGATATATCTTTTTTTTTGGTTCCGTCATCTGAAAACTGGTTTGGGCCTATGGCTGTTTCCTGTTTTCTGAAGCTTCAAAACCACTAGTATCTATTCGTTTGTAAGATGCAGCACGGTGTTCTGGGCAACTGTTTAGACTTTAGTTAGTTTCAATCAAGCTGCCTTGTGTTATTTTCAGTGCTGGCTGATAATGTTGACTATAACCTCATTTTTGTTCTTATTGTAGCCCCCAATTGTCAACACCCTTGGTTCTGTTTCCAATGTGTCTAGTCCTATGGCAGTGAATTCGGAGAGACCTGATCGGGCATTGCCCACAGTGTCAATGAGTGGCCTGGTGAGTTTGCAGAATCTATTTTGTTGTCTGCTCACTGTTCAATACTTCAACCTGTTCTGTTGCTAAATGCATCAAACAAATACCAGGCGCCCATGGATGTTAGCAGAACCCCAGATGTTAAGCCAAGAATTACAGATGAATCTGAAAAGGTTAAAACCTGGAAGTTGGCAGACATTGGTGACTCAGGACATCTCCGAGCACTGCGTATGCCGGATACATCAGCAACTTCAAGCAAAGTATGTTGAACAATGTGTGCTTGGTTGCTATCAAGTCTGTTGAGTTATAAATATTGATCATGCAATAATAACCTGATTACCTTAAACATATGAGCTTGTCTTTCTGTTTAATGTCTGGAAGACCGCAGTATCTGTTGGTGTTTACATGCAATTGTTGCACAAATGTCAAGTTTTGACCTTTTTTTGTCAACATTTGATAGGATCTTTTTTCAGTGATAGAACAGGCTGTTCAGTTCTGAGCAATATGAAATTTCTGATAAGCACTGTAATTTTTTTTTGTTGCACAGGTTGTGCGTCTGCTGTATACAAATAATGGGGTTGCGCTTTTGGCTCTTGGCTCTAATGCTGTTCATAAGCTGTGGAAATGGCAACGCACTGATAGGAATCCTAATGGCAAGGTTAGAGTGGAGAGTTGTTCTTATTTGGATTTCATCTGTTCTTATTTGGATTTCATCTGCTATTCTGTTTGCTTGGTTTCTAAATATATGCATATATTGTAGTCCACTGCATCTTTCACTCCTCAAATGTGGCAACCAGCAAATGGGATTCTTATGGCAAATGACACTAGTGATGGCAACCCCGAAGAAGCAACTGCCTGCATTGCTCTGTCCAAAAATGATTCCTATGTGATGTCTGCATCCGGTGGCAAAGTCTCATTGTTCAACATGATGACATTCAAGGTATATGATCTCTTCGGTGTGTAGCACAATCAATTGTTATTACCCTAGAGCATAGGTCATGAGTTACTTTCCATAAAAATATGTGTTATTCTATAGTTGTGACGTTAAAATTTTTGAATTTTTTCACAGGTCATGACTACTTTCATGGCACCTCCACCTGCTGCAACTTTCCTTGCATTCCACCCTCAAGACAATAATATCATTGCTATTGGAATGGAGGACTCTACCATTCAAATTTATAATGTCCGTGTTGACGAGGTGAGTGATATTCTCTTAATGGTTCTCACCGCAAGTGATTAAACTAGTCAAATAATGTTTCTCATTTCCTCTTACCAGATGAATCAGATCTTGTGAGATTTTGTAGATGACGTTTTAGATATATGTATTTTTTTTTTTACTTATAAACCTTATGTGCAATAGAAATGCTCAGTGACCTTCAACTAACTGAAGATTAAAATTTAAACAGCTGAGAACTTGTTTCAGTGATAATTGATTCCTTCTGTCTTAACCATATGGCATAGGTTAAAAGCAAGCTTAAGGGACATTCAAAAAAGATCACTGGGCTGGCATTTTCGCAGTCAATGAATATGCTTGTATCTTCAGGTGCTGATGCTCAGGTATGAATTTTCCTATATATTGTGCAGAATTAAATGTCACTTTGTGTGCATACTTCATCCTCCATGCTCTTGTTAGTCCCATGTCTAGCCATCCTTTAGCCTGTTTTGTTAAAAAAAAAAGATTCTGATCGCGGTGGCAAGTGGACTATATATTTGTTTCTGAATCAATGGTCATTGGAATGGAATTTTGCAGCTATGTGCTTGGAGCATTGATGGTTGGGAAAAGAAGAAATCAAGATATATCCAATCTCCAGCAAATCGTTCTGGTGCTTTAGTTGGTGATACAAGGGTGCAGTTTCACAATGACCAAACACATATTTTGGTGGTTCATGAGAGCCAGTTGGCGATCTATGATGCAAAGCTAGAGTGCTTGCGCTCGGTTAGTTCTCAGATTACCGTAATTTAATATATGCATGTATTATATTACATCGTGCTAGTGTGATAAACATTTGTGATCCATTCAATCAATCATTGTATTATGATAGTTGAATTTGACCTCATTGCTTGATCATGCAGTGGTCCCCAAGAGAAGCACTCCCTGCTCCAATTTCAAGTGCAATATACTCATGTGATGGTCTCCTCATCTACGCCGGATTTTGTGATGGTGCAATTGGAGTCTTCGAAGCAGAGTCTCTTAGGCTGCGATGCAGGATAGCACCTTCTGCATACATACCACCTTCCATGTCTAGGTATGTATAGTCCCCTACATGCCTACACTGCTTTGTGTTTCTGTTGGGTATGGTAATCTTAGTCCTGGCGACCATCATGTTATTGTTGATGCCCATTTTTGCATCTTTTCCAACAGTGGTGGAAGTGTTTACCCCATGGTTGTCGCTGCGCATCCCTTGGAGCCTAACCAGATTGCGGTCGGCATGAGCGATGGTGCTGTTCATGTGGTGGAGCCGTTGGACTCAGACCCAAAGTGGGGAGTGGCGCCTCCTCAAGACAATGGAACCCACCCCACAATATCAGCGGCTCCGGCAGCAGCTAACAAACCAGAAGTCTGACCATCCCTCTAGTGACTTGGCCAGCAGTGCCGACATTCGTTAGACCCAAAGAATGGTAGGATCGTAGGAGATAGGGAGAAAGAAGAAACAGTTTAGATTTGTGGGATGAGGTGAAATGTATCAAGTCCACAGCATCTCCTTTTGCCTGTGGCAGCAGCACAGGTGTTGATTGATGATGATGATGACATGTCTAAATTAGTTTTTGGTTCTTTTTTCCCACCCCCAGAAAATCTTGACCTCACCTGGCGGCTGCCGCAGTGTGTGCCGGAGATGGCTGCCATCTTTCCCTCCTTTGTAAAGCTTTTCTAGCTCTGAGCTAGTGGTGGTTGGTACCTTAGAGAATGTTCTTTTGTTCCTGCCCTTTTTTGCGGGGTAGGAAGGTATTCCTAGTGTAAAATATGGTTGGCATGTTGGATGGTGGTATTTGTTTGGCCTAATGCGACTGATTCAACCAATTCTTCGGCTCATGTCCTATAGATGTTTGCTAACCTTGTAGGCCTTGAAATCATTTGATTTGGCGATGGAACTTTGGACTCATGCTGTTCCAATGTTTTGTGCTCCTGTTTCTATTATCTATTGCTCACCTGTTCAGGTATCCAGTATTTTGCGAGGAATTTATTTGCATGTGGTCCATGTGGACGTGCGTTGTATTAGAATTCAGGAACGCATAGGACCTGGACGTGCATTTCTGGTCTTCAGCTTTTGGATTGTGACTCATCGCTGAAATTGAAATGGTCGGATGCCGGCAACTTCTTTTTCTTAGAGAGATTATTGAACAATATTTTCGACTGATCTGAACCAACTGAATTCATGCAAAAATCTGTGCGTTTCTTCAGATAATACAACTTATGTACTTTCACTCGGCAACAGCCGTAGCATCCATTCAAGCCTTGTACAATCGCAGAAAGATTGTGAAGAGGAGAGAACAGTTGCAACAATGAATGGCAGTAGTCTTCCCCACCCAACCCACCCCCGTTTTTTTTTTTTTTGAAAGAGTCAGGAGTGTTTAGAGAGCAGGAGAATTTTTTTTAGCAAAAGTAAAATAAAAACTGCCGTACAGACAAAGATGATTGTTAACTAATCAGGCATAAACAAGCTATATACTTCCTGCATCCCTAAATGTTTGACGCTGTTGACTTTTTTAAACATATTTGACTCTTTGCCTTATTAAAAAAATTTAAGTAATTATTAATTCTTTTCCTATCATCTGATTCATTGTTAAATATACTTTTATGTATACATATAATTTTACATATTTCACAAAAGTTTTTGAATAAGACGAACGGTCAAACATGTTTAAAAAAGTCAACGGCGTCAAACCATTAGGGAAGGAGGAAATAAGTCATAATAAGGTTAATTGGTTGTAGTATAGTTAAGGTGTAATTATATTACAATTATACTATATTTATATTTGAAAGTTTTCCATAAAAAATACTTGCGGTAGTTTTTAAGATAGTCCCAACTGTAATCTCTTCAAGTGACCAGAATTTGTTTTCTAACAGCACAGTTAAATTGGGACTTTTGTATTCCTAGTTTACATTTATTTGAGAAGCTTTTGAAAAATGTTACTTAGGTTGTGTTTAGTTCAGCGCAAAGTTTAAATTTTAGTTAAAATTGAAGATGATGTGACTGAAATGTTGTGTGTTTATGACAGATTGATGTGATAAAAAAGGAGATCCAAACTTTGAATCTAAACACAGCCTTATCCACTAGTATGAAGAGCTGAAATTGTTCCTATCAAACAAAAAAGAGCTGCGAAATTGTCAGTCCTTGAGTTCAAATTCAGTCACCAACTGTTCGACGGATTGCTAGTTTGCCACCATCACCGACGCTCCCATGCCCGCCGCCGCCGGAGACGTCAACTCGACGTGGACGCTGGCCATCCGCGCCGCCGCGGACCAAGGCCGCCCACGCCGCGCCGTCGCGCTCTACCTCTCGTCCCTCCGCTCGGGCCGCCGCCCCTGCCCCTTCGCGCTCGCCGCCGTTCTCAAGTCCGTCTCCCGCCTCCTCCTCCCCGCCGCGCACCCGCTCCTCGCCGCGGCCGCGGCCTCGATCCACGCGCACCTCCTACGCCTCGGCCTCCTCGCCCACCCCTACCCGCGCGCGGCGCTCGCCCACCTCTACGCGCGCCTCCCCGATCCCTCCCGCGCGCACAGCCTGCTCGACGAAACGCCGCCCCGGCCGCCGCGGGGGCGGGCGGGGGCGCACTCCTTCCTCGTCTCACGAAACTCGCTCCTCGCCTCCCTGCTCCGTTCCGGGGACCTCGCCGCGGCGCGCGCGCTGTTCGACCGGATGCCCGTGCGGGACGTCGTGTCCTGGAACTCCATGGTCGCCGGCCTCGCCAAGGCCGGCCACCTAGACGCGGCCATCGAGCTCTTCGACAAAATGCCCGAGAGGAACGCCGCCTCCTGGAACGCGGTCATGTGCGGCTACATCGCCCAGGGCGACCTGGCCCAGGCGAGGGAGCTGTTCGAGCAAATGCCCGTGAGGAGCAACGTCTCGTGGATCACGATGATATCCGGCTACGCCAACTCCGGCGATGTTCACGCTGCCGGCGAATTATTCGAGCGGATGGAGAACAAGAAAGATCTTTACGCGTGGAACGCGATGATCGCCTGCTACGCAAAGAATGGCTGTGCAAGGGAGGCTCTTGCTGTTTTCAATCGTATGTTGAAGCCTCATGTGTGGGTGATGCCCAATGAGAAGACCTTCTCGTCAGTCATCTCGGCTTGCTCGCAGCTTGGAGACTTGAGGTTTGGCTTGTGGGCTGAGAGTTTCATGGGGTCTGTGGGGATTGAGCTGGATGATCATTTGCGCACCGCTCTGGTGGATTTGCATACCAAGAGTGGGCGGATCGACAGAGCTTTTGATCTGTTCAGAGGTTTGGGGATGCGAGATGTGGTGTCTTACAGTGCGATTATCGTGGGCTGTGGGATGAATGGCAAGTTCAATGAAGCTGTTAGTTTGTTCAAGGAGATGTCCGATGCAAAGATTAGTCCCAATGCAGTGACCTTTGTGGGGTTGTTGTCTGCTTATAGTAATGCCGGGCTAATGGAAGAAGCCCGTGCTTGCTTTGCTTCCATGACAGAAAAATATAAGATTAGCCCTTCAATGGAACACTACACCATCATGGTAGATCTTCTTGGACGTAGTGGAAAATTGGATGAAGCATATCAACTGATCATGCAGATGCCAATGAAGCCAGATGCTAGCATTTGGGGTGCTCTACTTCTTGCTTGCAGGTTGCACAACAATGTTGAGCTTGGGGAAATTGTTGCTTCCAAGTGCTTTGAACTTGAGCCAGGAGAGAGTGGATATTATATTCTTTTGGGTAACATATATTCAGAAGCAAACAAATGGGAGAAAGTTAAGAGGCTAAGAAAGATAATGGCAGAAAGAGGCTTAAACAAAATGCCTGGGAGTAGTTGGGTTCAGGCTTCTTAAGTCCATTCTCTTGATTTCACTGATTTCGATTAATTCATTCAGTTCATAAATCAACATTCAAATATTCCTTGCGTCAAAAAAACATTCAAATATTCAAAGCTTGACTAGTAAAATTTGACAAGGTGGGTAGCTAAAGTTTCCATAGTTTTCCATCTCCATCTCTCCATCTCCATCTTTCTAACTTCTTATAGTTGCAGAGAATGCTGGAGTCTGCTGTCTCTTGTTTGGGCAGCTTAACAAATTTATACAAGGTTCCCCCGAAACTTTGAGCATTGATCAGGAATTCCGTAATTGGTTTGTTATCATCACCCTTTGTTCAACACGTAAATCTTTCTGTTAGCTATGTAATGTGTGCGCCTTCCATAATTGATGCTAATTTTCCATGCACATAGAAACGTTCTTTTGAAATGCTGATGAATATCTTTAATAGTTGCTTTTGGGCAAGTAGGAAAATAGCTTTGTTAAGTTGATAAATTCATGAGCTTCAAACGCATATAACACTGATTGTTACTGCATATTGTAATTAGGATGGAATTTTTTCATTTCAAATCCACACTAAATGTAATCACCTGTTTTCTGATGGCTTTTCTCCTTCTCACAAGAATTCTATTACAAAACATGTGTTCATGGAATATGATAGTGAAATAAATTATGCAAAAAAAAAATATAGGTGGTGAAATAGAATCTCCTTGAGGTTTTCATCGTTATGATGCCTTTATGTTTTTCAGGAATAATTTCAAGAAGTTATTTCCTGCAAAGTTTGCAAGTTGTAACTGCGACATCAGTCTCTACATTTAACTTGGCCAAAAGATCATACTTGCCATTACCAGGAAAAATAGCATCAATAATGAAAAAAAGATCATACTTGGCCCAACTGTCCCTGTTGACCGCAACCTCAGTCAAATTATAACAGGGTACAGGTAAGATAAGGGTCATCAGACATCCGGAAGACAGGAACAGATTACCGCACTGGCATGTTGTTTCTGTCAACTAATGTGCTCGTATCCAGCTTCTGGTTCTGGATCGCAGGAATGGATTTTATGACAGTACATTACAATAGATGTTGAATCCTGAATTGGTAAGAACTGGAAGCTCAGCTTTTGCCCATAGCTTTCATGTTCCCTTATCTCCTGTTTATTCACCATGCAGGTGTCAGTATTCGAAAAGCCTTGTTTGCGGCAGCATTACACATTTGCTTCTGAATCATTGTTTGCTGAAGCATTTGGAGCGATGATTATTGGAGGAAGAAGATGCAAGCAATCGACGATTCTCAGAAAACCTTTTCTGTGCTATGCAATGGATCAAAATAAGGGCATCTTTTAAGTTTTTTAGGAGATATTCTTCTGTTCTAAGCGGGAAAAGAAGAGCTTATGTCCTTCATTCCTGTCCCCGTTTTTGTAGTTTAAGGTACGGTCGCATGTGAGATATGGTGATATTTACGTACTCAATGTTGATAAAATTCAATCAAATATTCAGCTCATTTGCTAGGTGCTTATATTTTGTAAGCCATTTAAATGTTCAACCTGGAATGCTAACTTGCCGATATAATATAGATTCGACATCTCCTTATAAACATGCAGGATTTGTGATCACTGATTTGCAAATAAATAATTAGGGAACAATAGCCAATAATTGCATCAAGAAGCTTATCAAATCATTCACAATGAGATAGGGCTGGACGAAAAGCTCATCACTCCTTAGCTCACTCGACTCGTGCATGGTTCGGTTCGTTTGGATTTGTTAACAAGTCGAGCCAGGATTTTATCTCGTTAGCTATAACGAGCCAGCTCGCGAGCCAAACGAGCCAAGGCCCAACACAAACAACAGGCCCAGCCAAGCACCACAAGGCCGGCCGAACAAGGTCACAAGTCCACACAAGTAGAGAAAGATCAGTGCCAAGGACGCACAAAGGAGTAAGTTCACGGGAGGTCCCTCAACTTAACAGCAAGATTCTTTGAGGTCCCTTAACCACAAAACCAGAAATCTTCACCCCTAAACTATACAAAACCGTCTAATTTAGGTCCCAAGTCAGTATAAATGCCTAGTTTTGCTGACGTGGCATCCTAGTCAGCAAAATTAATAAAATAAATAATGTGGGGGGCCCACATGTCAGTGAGAGAAAATTATGTGAGCCCCGCATCTATTTTTTCTTTTTATTTTTCTCTTCTCTTCTCAACTTCTCACAGGTGGGCGGGCAAATGCGGGTGTGCGGCCGATGGCGGAGTCGGTGGAGGGCGAGCACGGCTGCGAAGTAGGCAGGACGGGCGGCTGTCTCCCGGTCATCGGCGCCGCCCAAGAAGTACAACGCCACCCGCTGCAGCGTGCTGTTCGACGCCGTCGCGCACGCCGACCCCGCCGCCAGGCCGTGGTCGATCAGGATGCCCACCGAGCACAGTGCGTACTGCATCACCGACCGGTTGATGGCGCGGATGGCGTTGTTGGCCGTGCTCCGGGCGCCGTCCTGTGGAAGGGGAGCGGGATGAGGTTGGCCTTGCAGCTGTCCATCAGGAGGCACACGTCGTGGTGCATGCTGCTGTACAGCGACACCACCACGTACGGGCTCACCGTCACCGCGCCCAGCGGCGCCTGCTGCTCGAAGCAGCGGAACGCGTTCACGATGTGGTCGGACGGCGTCGGGTTGCCGCTGCAGGCTCAGCTCTCCGTCGCTCCGCCTGCCTGCTCGCCCACCGTCGCCGCTGGTAGCCGCGCTCCCCCATCGCCGCCCGCCGCCTGCTCCGCTCTCCACCGCTTCGCCTGCCTGCATGTCCACCGCCGGCACTCGCAGCCACGCTCGCCCGCCGCCGCCCGTCCTGCCTGCTTCGCAGCCGCGCTAGCCCGCTGCCGACTCTGCTCTCCGCCGCCGCCGCTCCGGCCCCTCGCCGCCACGGCGACTGCTGCATCTCTCCCCGCAGCGCGCGACCGCCAGGCCCGCTCCGCCGTCGGCCGCACACACGCATATGCCCGCCTGCGCGTGAGAAGTTGAGAAGAGAAGAGAAAATAAAAGAAAAAAATGGATGTGGGCCCACATCATTTTCTCTCAATAACATGTGGGCCCCACATATTTATTTTATTATTTTTGCTGACTAGGATGCCACGTCAGCAAAACATGCATCTATACTGCCTTGGGACCTAAATTAGACGGTTTTGTATAGTTTAGTGGTGAAGATTTCTGGTTTTGTGGTTAAGGCACCTTAAAAAATCTCGCTGTTAAGTTGAGGGACCTTCAGTGAACTTATTCCGACGCACAAAACAGCAAGCCCAACAAGATCTGACGACTTCAATGGTAGGACGCCATTCGGCGCGTTGATTCCCGATCCGACGGCTACAGAGCGCGCTGGGCGAGCCGACGCGCACCAGAACAACGGCAGCTGCTCGACGAATTGCCGCACCGCAACCAAACCATGCTGCGCGCGCTGCTCCGCCGGCGGCGGCCGCCGATCCCCTCCGCCGCGGTCGCGGTCGCCGTTGCAACCTTCTTTGCGAGCTCAGGAGGCGCCCGTATAGCTCTCCCTCCTCCTCCTCCCCGTCCTGCGGCAGACGAGGCGGAGCGGGAGGGGTCGCTGGCGCAGCGGGTGGAGCGGTCGGCGTCGGTGTGCGCCGCCATCCGGGGGTGGATGGGCGACGGCCGCGCCGTGCACCGCGGGCACGTCTTCCACGCCGTCAACCGCCTCCGCCGCCGCCGCCTCCACCGCGCCGCCCTCCAGGTCTCTCTCTCGTCTCTTCCACCTCTTGTCGCAGTCCCCGTTCTTGGCTCGGATCCAATGAAATCTCCCATATGAGCGGCTCGCTTCGTGATTGATGTGAGTTAGGCCGAGAACTGAGATATATCCCATCAAAGATTTATCTTCGCCGCCGTTGTCTCCGCAATCTGTGCTTTGCTTGAGATTGGCATCAACTATCGAAGCTGCATTTCATCTGTGTCAATTGTGATCTGTTTTTTTAGAGAGATTTGTGATCTGTGTTATTCTGAATGAAGGTGATAGATAGATAAACCTACATTCTTGTTGCATATTTTGTGCTTGTCTGTATAAAGATTTAGAGATGAACGAAATTGACATCGAGTAATTGACTGGTAATATGTTCTGTTTGTACTTTTTGATTGGATTATTGCTTACCTAATCATGGTGAAATCAAGCTTCTCTTCATTTAATATAACACGATGAATGGATGTTGATTACTTGTAGATTCTAAAGTTTTTCTTTTACCATGGCTTCGCTGTTCAGGAAGTGAAAGTGCATCTCCTGTTTTTTTATTGCCACAGGTCATGGAATGGATCATGAGAGAGAGGCCCTACAAGCTTAGTGAGCTAGATTACTCATATCTCCTGGAGTTCACAGCTAAAGTTCATGGCATTTCTGAAGCTGAAAGCCTCTTCCTTCGCATACCTCAAGAATACCAGAATGAGCTGCTGTACAACAACCTTGTTATGGCTTGTTTGGATTTGGGCTTGATTAAGCTTGCATATGGTTACAAGAGGAAGATGAGGGAACTGTCGTTGCCGATTTCACCATATGTATACAACCGGTTGATCATCCTCCATTCTTCTCCAGGGCGTCAGAAAACTATTTCCAAGATCCTCGCTCAGATGAAAGGCGATCGTGTGACCCCTCACACGTCAACCTACAACATCCTACTGAAGATAAAGGCCAATGAACACAACATCGATGGTGTGGCGAGGGTTTTCAATGATATGAAGAGAGCAAAAGTCGAGCCAAACGAGATCACCTATGGCATTCTAGCAATTGCACATGCTGTAGCAAGGTTGTATACTGTTTCCCATACATATGTAGAAGCAATTGAGAATTCTATGACGGGAACTAATTGGTCTACATTGGAAATTCTGCTTATCTTGTACGGATACCATGGGAAGGCAAAGGAGCTAAAGATGACATGGGATCTTATGCAAGGTCTCCCTCATATTCGACCCAAAAGCTTTATACTAGCAATTGAAGCATTTGGAAAGGTTGGCTCCATCGATCAGGCAGAAGAGATATGGGGAAAGTTTGAATCAACAAGAAAGCCGAAGCTGACAGAACAGTTCAATTCCATTTTATCAGTATATTGTAGGCATGGTCTTGTGGATAAAGCATCGGCTGTGTTTAAAGAAATGAGAGCAAATGGTTGTCAGCCGAATGCTATCACATACCGCCACTTGACGTTAGGCTGCTTGAAAGCAGGTATTGTTAAAGAAGCTCTGAAGACGATGGATATAGCAAAGAAAGAAGTTGTCACCAAGAAGGTGAAAAGTTCAACACCATGGTTGGAGACAACTCATATGATACTTGAAAGCTTTGCAGAAAATGGCGACTTGGTAAATGCAAAGAGAGTTTTTGACGAACTGAATGAATCAAAGTACTGTAGGAATTCATTTGTGTATAATACCCTTCTTAAAGCTCATGTAAAGGCAAAAGTTTATGAGCCAGATTTGTTAAGAGCGATGATTTTGAGAGGAGCGATGCCAGATGCTGAAACATACAGCCTACTGGGATTGATAGAGCAGTTCAAGACATAATGAACCTGTACACAAACTAGCTATTGTAGCTGTGAAGGAGTTTGAAATGATATATACTGAACTGAGCCATACAACAACCGGTGGTAACATGTGAACATTTTGGCACATAATCATTCAATATTCCAATTGTCATACTGATGGTATCGCTGGTATTCATGGTGCATGATCAGTGTCTGAAGATGAGCACAAATCATTGCTGAAGTGCAGGCCTCGCAGCTACCTTTGTTATCCTGAACATCTAGCACAAGGTAAAAACATTAATTATTCGAATATCTGAAATATGTTGTTGCCCAAGGTAAAAACATTAATTATTCGAATATTTGAAACCTGTTTTTCTACTATGTAAGAAGCATATAAGATGCTAAACTAGGTCAGCTGAATCCTAAGAACCAGATGTTGTAATCTAACATTTTCTTCCCCACAAACCCCCACACCTAAACATTGCAGGTGATGTACACTGCATTTTCAAAGTAGGGGAATAGTGCAAAGGAAAAATTGCATCAGATGGAGGACAAACACTTCCAAGCAAACAAAGGTAGTCAGGATATTACAATGACCACTGCTTAGTGGTTACACAACATGTTGCAGGTTTCATTGTGCTACTTCAACCATCTTCACACCTCGGCCCCCTGAAACACACATCGACCTGGTGTTTTTAATGTGCAAATGACGGAACGAGATATAAAGGAAGGCAAGATAACCATTATAAAGCTTAAGGAAACAGTGCTACGCTGCCCAAATGCTGGATACACAAGGAGTACCAACCTCCATTTGAATGGCAGCAAATCTAGCAGCATGCAAGTCTAACCCAAGCAGCTTGTGCTCTGAGCATCTGACTCTGGAGCAATAATTTTAAGATAAATGCCTGATACCGAGACATGTATGTTGTAGCTAGTTGCATAGCACCAATCTGACATTGTTCTTGTACAAAAAGAATCCATGCAAAGAAGTTACAATAAACAGTGGCCATATGTTCCATATGGTATCGAGTCAGTGGATAGATTATTAGCAGAGACTGATTTCGTCAAGTAATTTCATTTGCATCCTGTCCGGGCATAATCAATGTGCATCCTGTTGCAGAGGCTGGTACATTGACAAGGTGACCTTCAAAGAGTAATTCGCAAACAATATTATTATGGAGCCATGGGGAATATATATGTTTTTTTTTTGCCAAAACAAATGTTCAGATGTACCTGAAATGTAAATGATTATTGACAAGTATACAATTGGTTTATATGTTTTTGATAGCTTTTACATTTGCAACAAAATGTTAGTTCATGACACACAGGAACTGATTATGCCCCATGAGAGGTTCAGATCAAGGAGTCTATAATCTGTCAGGCCTCAACATAACATGATCTTGTATGCTACAGTATTCATTTATGGAATGTCACTGCAAAATAGACATAAAAATACATCTTAAAATGGTTAACAATAACATGCTGACACAAACTTGACCACCTGAATACTGCAAGTTTTGCTCTCATTCAAAATGGAGCTGCAATCAGAGGAAAACAAAGGAAGAGACTTGTACCTGACTCTGAGTACCAGTGATTTTCTGAACTCTAGTTAACTTGTAATAGTCATAGTGTCAAATTTAAATTGAAAAGCATAATGCATTGGTTCCTATCTTCGATCTCAACAGTACAAATCTAGCTGAATAAAAGGATACACATGACTTGGCTCCACAAGTTTTGTGAGTTTCAGTACCAGGAATCACAATAGCATAAAGGTACATGGTGCAACCAGAATATCTGAAACTCATTATCAGAAACAGATATCATGTCAGAAAATATTATCCTGGAATACACAGCGACAAAGAGATCCATCCATATATATTGAAATCGAAATCTTTATTCCTTTGCCTAAGGTAAAATGGTGGATACAAGGTAAATAAAAGAAAAGATTTCATCCACAATTCTACATAATTTTGGGATGAGCCTAAATATGATCAAGGTTACAAGGAAACATGGTGTATATGTTCTATTACAGTAACAACTCTAAGTTACCTACTGATGCCTCCTCCTTGTCCTCCTTGCAGGGGTGGATTCAGAAACTCTTGACCTCCTACCTTGTGCTGGCCCTCCCGCTATAACACCCACGGTGCTAGAAGTCGACGCTTGCTCCACAGATGATGACTGTTGGGGAGCGACAGCAGCAGCCGGTGCAGCACCATTAGCATCAGGAGGTGGCAAAGGAGCCTGATTGCCACTCCCAGCATCAGCATTGACCACCTGCTGCTGTGTTGCTGGTGCAGAAGGCGCATCTTGTCTTGCCTGCCTTCGACCCCTACCCCTTGGCCGGGGTGCAGATGAAGCCGCCTGGCCTACCACTATATCTTGGTTTTGCATCAACCGCCTCACCATGTTTGCAATGCCTCCTCTTGTGTCTGGCCTTTGCAGCTGCTGCCTCAAGCTCTCGGTCCTCTGCGCACTCGGCCTGGGAGGGATTTGGATATCATTTCTGGAGGAGTTCTCCTCGCCACCTCCTCTTCCATAAATCGGTGTGACGTTTACTTCGAGCACCTCGCCCTTGCAGACAGGGCAATCAGAGTGCTCTGAATGTCCATGAAGCCACTGGTATATGCAAGGCCAGCAGAAGAGGTGGCCACAAGGGGTAACCACAGGATCTTTAGCTGATTCAAAGCAGATATTGCATTCGAAGCTGCCGTTGCATCCGCAACCGTCATCCTTCTTGGTGGCATCACTGCCATCACCATCAAGCATCTGCCTCCTTGATGCCTCAAGAGAATTATGAGACCTCTGGATGGCCCGCGCCAGATTATCGGCTTCCGGGCTATTCGCCCGTCGGCTGCGGCTCACTGGCCCAGTCCCCGCCCTCCCATTCCCGACGCCGTGTTGATCGCTCACCTGGATCAACCTCCGCAGCCGATTCTCCGGCGTCATAGGGCGGCTTGCAGCAGCAATCTCTGCTCCCCTTATAAGACCAGTAGGTGGGATTGCTCCACCGGTCTGCACAAGCATTTCCAACGCTGCACAAGCAAAAATCTGTGGCAGCGTCGACGAGGCCCTGGCCATGTACGATGGCGTCTCGAGCGGCGGCACCGGCTGCTGCTCACCGGGATCAACAAGCCACGCTGCAACAGGATCTACCAGCACCTGCTCCGGCGCTGACAGCGCGTTCGACGGCGAGTACGCCGCCGCCGCCGGAGGCGGTGCCGCCACCACCACCGAGCCCCTTTGCTCGTTCGCCACCGTGGCGGCGGAGTTCAGCAGCAGCGACGGGTAATCGGCGGCGACATCCAGCCTTCCCGGAGGCGGCGGCAGCGGAGGGAGGCCGAGATACAGGTTCAGATCCATCGGGCCCCTCCTCTCGCCCCCGCCCGCAGCAGCAGCAGCCGACGACTCCGCCGCCATGCCCCCCAACCAGCAAAAGAACCAAAGCTAAGCGGATCCACCCGAGACCAAAAGGGCTCGAAAGAAACGGAATCTTTAGCCCAAAACCACCCACAAATCCCCAGAGGATTTCCCCGGCGGCCGACGTGATCGATCGGCACGGCGACGAGCCGTTCTTGCTCAAGAACCACCCAGCGTGGGGGATTGATTGATTGATTCCTCCCGCTACCGATAGCTCCAGCAAGTCGGAGAGATCACCGGGAGGGGGAATTCGGCGAGGGACGCCATGAGAGGGCGCGCCGAATTACGGAGGAATCATGTGGAGATTTGGGGATTTTTTTTTTAGGAAATGGGAATGTGGAGGAAGAAGAACAGGGGAGAGAAGTAATAGCCGCTTCTTGGGGTTTTACTTGGGAAGAAGTGATGACTGATGACTATGAAGTGAGGTTAGAGGCCAATATATAGGGTTGGGCGAATTTATTACTTCTAACTTTGGAAGATTTAGATGTAGGGTATATTAAATAAATGAATTAATGATTTCTAACTTTAGAATATTTAGATTTAGGTTATTATATAGGGGCCATTTATTGTACTCATATTAAATACCAATTCTTGGTTTTTTATTTTTTTTTCTTGTATATCTTATTTTTATTAAATGTTTTCTAACTTCGTGGTTGCCACGAGTTAGGTGTTCTATGAGGTGGTTGCCACTGAAAACCGAACTTTTTGGTAACCACGAAACTTGAAGAAAAACATTTAATAAAAAGATATACAAAATCAAAGATAAACCAAGAGTATTGAAATTTGATTAGAATCCAATAAATGACTACTAAGATGTAAGATGTAGATACTGATTTTGATTTACGATGCATTTAATAACGCAAATCTAAATTCTCTAGTAAGAAAATCATAAATCTTTTCAAGTTGAAAAATCATAAATTCAGCCCTAGCCTGTATAATGGTCTCCAAGTCTCACTTCATAGTCATGAATATCACCCAAATAGTATATCTATTCTGAATTTGTTGAGAAAACGCATTTGTGATACCCTAGCCCCGAGCCAAACCTCATACTCCCTCTGTTTCACAATGAAAGTCATTCTAGCATTTCCCACATTCATATTGATGTTAAAGAATTTAGACATATATATCTATCTAGATTTATTAACATCAATATGAATGTGGAAAATGCTAGAATGACTTACATTATAAAACGGAGGAAGTACATCAGAGCAATAAGTCTGCTCCTGACATTACCATCGTCATTACCACTGTCTTTCAAAGCACCAAACTTCTATAAGCCACTCAGATGGAAATCATTTAATAAAAAAATACAATCAGAGATAAAAACCATTATTACTGGTATTCGATAAGAATCTCAGAAATGGTTTAGATTTACAATGCATTATTTTGTAAAATGCCCTCACCATACTCTATCCGCAAACCAAACCTCATATACAAGTCCACTTTTGCTATTATTAATGGGGTCGTTTGACGGTCAAGGCACAGCATGCTGCGCAACCTCGAGCAACCGAACATCCCCAATTACCATTGCTGTTTAGGGAGGCGATGGTAATTGGGAATGTTTGAATGCTCGAAGTTGCGTAGCCAACGTAAACATTATAGGTATTTCTATTCAATGATAAGATTTAGATTAGATTTACCATAGATTTATATATAGCTCATAAAAGAAGAATAGCAAAGACAACAAAAAAGGCAAAAAACAACAGTAAATCAGCATTGTAGCATATCCAACCTATATAAATCATGTTGAGACAATTGGAATTTTTTTCTACCAAAAGAAAAAAGAGGAAATTAATTGAGGATTTGCTTACCATATCTAACGATTTTGATAAGAAGGATAGATGCCCCTCCCCTTGATGAGGCCTCTGCAAAGACCATTTCCTTTGTTATGCTTATCATCATCGAACCTATCAAATCCGCGTTGAAAGTAAATACCTTTTACCTCGAGCAAGAAAGTATAGAGATTGTTTTCTTGAGAATACCTGAGAACTTTCATCTACAAGTGTTCTTTCTCTCTATTGAAGCCTCTACAACAATATTAACGATCATAGACTTAAAAAGTGACTCTGGTAGCCCATGGTAACTACAGATCTATGGTATATGATGGGGGTGGGGGAGATACGTGCACATATGCAAGAAAGAATGGTAAGGTTACATAGTAGCAACAATGGCTTCTAGCGTAACTATGACGGACGACTGCATCTATATATAGGAAAGAGTGAAATGGAAGATCACAAATAGCACTGGCGTCTTCTATGTGGGTAACCACATCGACACATATATAGGAACAAAAGAGGTGGATTCTAGCTTAACTATGAGGAATGAACAAGTCGCAAATAGAAAGAGTAAAATGGAAGATCGTAAAGTAGCAACGGCGACTTCTAGCATTACTATGATGAGCGACTGCATTGACACATAGGTAAGAGCAAAAGATAGTTATGGGAAAGATCATAGCATAGTGGCAGCGACGACTTTACTCGCAGGTATGATGGACAGATTTATGCGAAGGAAAAGATCATAGCAAAAGTGAAGAAAGATCAAAATGAAGGAAAAAAATAAAGAAAAATAGTGGCAGCTTCTCCAGGCACAATTATGATGAACGGCAACAACAACAGATAGACGAGAGTAAGAGAAAATCATTGAGTATCGGCGGCGACGACGACCTCTAGGTATGGACGAGAGTAAGAGAAAATCATCGAGTACCGGCGGCGACGACGACCTCTAGGCATGGGCCGCCGCCGATGGCACACATGTAAGGGTGAAGAGATCCTAGAGCTGCGGCGGCGGCGAGGGGGTAGGGGAATGGACACCTAGGGTTAGCATGTGGTTGCCACGATATTTATAGCCATTGTACTCCTCGTCTACTCCTTAGGATGTTGATCCAACCGCTCACGATGTGAGCGCCTGCCACCCTGACACGTGTCCATCTGTTCGGACAACAAGTGTCTTTCCTTCTGAGAGGTGTCAGTCTTGCCTTTGTTAGGCGGCCTGACGGCCCACCTGTAAGTCTGACGCGGCCTATTTGGGCCTAGATCAATTAGGACCATCTATATCTGGGCCTGGTTCAATCTGGATGAGACGGCTCAATAAGGCCCACATAACAATTTCCTCACGAGGCAGCGTGGAGACGAGAGGGAGAGGCAGCCATTTTTTCTTTTTTTTTTTCGCTCGTCGGAATTTCGAATCGGGAAACCTAACGGCGAGCGGCGCCTCCACCTCGCCGGAATCCACCACCGATGGAGGCCGCTCCGGCGGCGGCGGCGGGGAGGTACGGCAACCTCGAAAGGTCCTTCAAGCTCGCCGCCCGCTCCGTCCTCACCGCCTGCTCCCGCGAGGTTCGGTCCCCTTCTCTCCCCACCTTCGAATTTCTCGGGCTCAGCTCTCGCGGCCACTGCGCTTTGCTACTGAGAGAGACCAGCGTGAAATGTTGGGGGGCGTGATTTAGAGCGAGAGAGTGCTTGGGGGTGAAATCGATTCGTGCGCGGTGTTGACTCGTGTTGTGGTGGGCACTGCAGGATGTGAAGAGGGCTTTCCCGTCGTTTACGGATGCGGAGAGGGAACGCTTGTACCAGATGTTCATTTACGTGAGTGCCCTGATCATCTGACCATCTCCCAGTTCAAGAATTGCATTTGATTGTGGATTTGTCTATCCCTGTACCACAAGTTAAAATGGGGTTACAGAATTGAGTTTCCTGTGTGTGGTTTACTGTGGCCACTCTAATTTCATACATTTCTTGCTCATTTTGCAGGTGATCAAGTCTCTGCACAGCAACATAGAGGTTTAGTATTGTATTAAGCTGGTTACTACTTAATGCACGGAATAACCTTGACTGTAACAGGCACTTTATTTTAGGCTAGATTAAATTCATGCGGTTGCTTGACTCATCAAGTTTGTTTTTGTTGCACAAAGCAGAATTTTATTTAGGCATTCAGGATATGTGTATGGCACTGGTCGTGCTGGATGTGGTTTTATAGCCTTACATGCAGACATAGGCATATCCCACAAACTTTTCTTGCCTTTTTCTTTTCCTGTTATATTCTGTTATCACCTAGGAGTCTTCCCATGCTAATTAGTTGGGGGCAAGGCTGGGTTGGATATGTTGGCTTACCATTTAGCTGGTTCTAGGTATATATTAGTTACTGATTTGTTGTTGTTTCTCCATCTTTGTTAAATGTCTACCCTTTGCCTTAAATGTGAGAAAACTTTCTCAAAGATCCATGGTTCTGAAACTAATTTCATAGTCAAAAACAAAATGATGAGCTGTTAACTGTGTTATGTTAACAGCTGCTCGAGCTCACAAACTTTTCCATGTGCCTGACCATGATAGATTTATGTTTTGAGGTGACTTTCACTGCTTAAATACATTCCTTATTGTTGGTATGCATGGACCATAAAATTGAAATTTCTTATGTTATGTTTGTTGAACCTGATGTTGTTCTGTTTTTTTGTTCTAGTATGCCGTAGAGTCATACACTGTGCTGTATTAATGTGGTACATTTTCATACTGTAGGAGGAATTTGACATACCCTGCCAAGAACTACAAGTAACGTCTCAAGCAATACTTTCATGTTTTATTAACACCTGCAAGATGTTTTATAATTTGTATATGTATACCATCATTTTTAAAGGTTGCTGCTGCCCTTGAAAAGATAGATCAGTTTGTTGAAGAACAAAAGCTGGATGTGCTGTCTTCAGACAAGTAGGTGTTATATTTTGCCTCTGTGGATTCATCTTTTTGAAATTTTGTTGTTCTCTTGTCCACTTTCTAAGAAATACAATCAAATGGACAAGCATGGCTATTGCTCTCTTATTTGTTCTCAAACTGCAGCATATAAATACACAAGATATTCTGTTCTGTCTGGATAAAACATGTATTTCCTTGACTTGTTCTTCATTCCATGTTTGGGATTATGGTTGATCCGGTTGCAGGACTAACATTGAAGACACCAAGCAAATGATATCAAAGGCTAAGAAAGATGAAGTTGAATACCTGAAAAGTCTAATAGAAGAGGTAATATACCCTGGAAATGGTTCTGCAGACATATAGACACTATTCCCAATTAATTTTTCAAGGGATACTCTTCTTACTATGCGAATAACAACTGAGTTCTAATAGATGATTTCTCCTGCGAAGACATTTTCATTTTTGGTAACTTGGCTAAAGAGCATCTTTTGCAAGTGATAATTTCCTTTTCTCTTCACACGATAACATAGGTTGAAGAGAAAAACAATGCCATGAAGGCTCGAATTGAACTCTTGAAGAAAGATGATGATTTGGCTGCAGGAAAACAAGTCCTTGAGAAGGTTCTCTTAGAATCCTATCCATCTGTATCACACTTTTCTCCTACTGTCACTCTCATTTTGGCTTGACTTCTGCAAATCTTTTTGCAGCTGATGCAATGCAATTCTGCACTCTACAATGGCCTTTGAGTTTCAGATTTTTAGCCGATCCGATGATTATTTACTTGCTGGAGTGAAAAGACATCTGTTGGATAGCTGTGTAGTTTTAGATAGGATGTTGATCCAGGAATCGAGATGGATGCCCTGTAATGTGAAACAAATACTGCAGTCCGTATGTTGGATATGGTTGCCACCTTGTTACCTCCCAGCTGCATTCTGTTTCTTTTAAGTCTGTGCTTTCTATATGGTATCTATGGCTTGTTTTGTGATCGTCCCGGATAAATGTGCATTGTACTGGTACCCATGTTCATCCTTTTGCACATGAGATATATTTGGCTTGTGTTCACAGGCCACAAATTTGCTGGTTTTGACTGAGAATGTCACTTTTATGTCCATTTGGATTTTCGATCAATAACCAAACTGAGAATGCATTTAGAACATGAAAGTTTCCCAGACTTCTACATCAAACAAAAAAAAAAGGTGAATTGTTTGTGAAATCTCAAACATGGCCATCGTTCTTCCAAGCTGTCCATTTGTAGCCACAGTTTCAGGGTGAATGGCTACACCCTCCGTTTTAAAAATGCCATTACTACCTAAGGCTGATAATACTTATTGGTTTGAACCGGACATAGTTTTCAAAAAATAACTTTGATCACTATTTTTTATTACTATATATGAAAAATATAAATAAATATATGATTTGTTGAAGTGCTTTTTAAGATCATATGTATACATATGGTCATCATATTTCTAAGACAAATATTTTAGATGTTATTTATAATAAAAGTTTTTAAAGTTTGACAACAGTCTTATCTAAACAATAACAATAAGTATTATAAATATGGAGAGAATAATTTTAGCTATGAATCTCGATCTACTCCCTCCGTCACAAAATATAACAACTATTGGACTCTGATACGGTCTCCGATATGCTACTTTGACCAATAATATCTTTATAAAAATAAAATGTTTCAAATAAAAAGAGTTGCATATTATGATAGTTTGTTTAATGATAAATCTAGTAACATTAATTTTCTATGGTTGATCTTTTATTTTTTTTTTGCTATTAATAGTTAAAGTTTAAAATGTTTGACTTGTCACTATACTAAAAATATTTATATTTTAGAATGGAGGGAGTAATTTTTTTTTCTAGAATGGAATACATGTCGGTGTCAGGTTCACAGTTTCCACAGGTATGCCTCTCCCTTTGGTTGTGAGTTTGTGACTGTGAGGCCACACACATCACTCTTGCCTTAGCCACACCATCTCCATCCAAAATGGCAGCCATCTCCTCCCTCAACCTCCACACCACCTGCACTGCTGCCATCCTCTCACCACCGCCATGGCTGCCACACTCTCCTCTGCTCCTGCCCCCTCCAAGCACTGCTCCATTGTCAGAGCCCAGCACTCCCCTCCCCCTTCCATCCTCTCATCATCAACTGTAAGTGTGATACATATGCATATCCATTGATTGATTCTTGATGTTTTTTTTTAATCTCTTCTTGCTTCATTGATTGATTCTATCCATTGATCGATTCTTGATGTTTTTTTTTCTCTTCTTGTTTCATTGATTGATTCTTGATGTTTTTTTTCTCTTCTTGCTTTTCTGGTTTCTTGTGTGATAATGTTTGATGATATTGTTGATGATGATGATGCTGTGCTGAGTGCAGAAGACGGCCTTCCATGGGCTGTCACTGGTGGACAGGCGGTGGGCGGCCTCTGTCGGCGGCGGCAGCGGGCGGCGGCGGAGGGTGCTTCAGGTGAACGCGAGGACGGCCGGCGCGGCGAAGAACATCGAGGTGGAGGTCGACAAGCCGCTCGGCCTCACCCTCGGCCAGAAGACCGGCGGCGGCGTCGTCATCACCGTCAGTATATAACACAGCTTGCTTCCATACTTCCATGCATGATGCCACCTGTTCTTCTTTCTCTGCATGATCAACCAATGGAAATTTTCACTACTTGATTGCTGTCTCATCAAGAACATACTAGATTGCTATTCACTGTATATTCCCTGCTCTTGTTTTATCTTCATGATCCATTAACAGAGAAAAAAAAGGGGCAGCATTGAATTGCTGTCTCAAGATCACTATATTTCCTGAAGAAATTCTTACATTTTTAGAAGAATTTCTTCAGGAAAAATGAGTTAGGACTTATTAGGAATATCTTCAACAAGTCCTAATTCATAAAACTAGTTCTTTGCCATTAGTGGATTAATTTCTCAGAAAACTATAACAACCTGTTGAATCAACTTCTACATGAGTTAGGACTTATCAAGAATATCTGTTTTTTTTTTTGAACGTGCAAAAGGATTGCACGTCAATATATTAGCAGGAAAAGAGTTTTTGTTACACAAAGCAATCAGCCAGACTGGCTTATGCCTAAAGGGGGGGGGGGGGGGGACTTGAAGCTAGGAACTACTACGACGGTTAAAAATGCAACTCCAAACTCTTTTCCTGCTAAAAATATCTGTTTGCCTTCAGTATGTACAGCTTGCCTTAGAGCTGGAGATGCAGAAAGTGTTATAATTAGTGACTAGTAATAGTTCATTTGGCATTTGCTTTAGGCTGTGGATTCTGGAGGGAACGCGGCAAGAGCAGGCCTGAAATCAGGTGACCAGGTGCTCTACACAAGTAGCTTCTTTGGAGATGAACTATGGCCTGCAGATAAGCTGGGGTTCACCAAGACAGCCATCCAGGCAAAGCCAGACTCTGTCTACTTTGTGGTTAGCAGGTAAGGACTTATCCTCCCCAGCATTACAATTTTTTCGTAACTTTGAAATCCTGTACATGCACTCATTATGCAGTTATATTCAAAATTCAGACAGTAATACTAGTAGAAATATGTACTTTTCATGGTAAGTACTTTGGATCCTTCAAGTTCCTTACATTTCATCTCCTGCTGTCATTTCGCGCCATCTCAGGGGTGCACAAGTTGATGTGAAGCGACTTCCGAAAAGGCCGGCGCCTCCGAGATTTGGCCGGAAATTGACGGAATCACAAAAGGTAAGCTCAAGATAGTTCTGTCTGCTTCTCAGAGCTTATGCTGCCTGCAATCGTCTGCTCTTTCCAACTTTTAAGCCTCAACCTGCAAAGTTGTGAATTGTCACAGGCTAGAGCAACACACATTTGCCTTGATTGTGGATACATATACTTCCTTCCCAAGCCTTTCGAAGAACAGGTAAGATTCACTTCAATTCTTTCACAGAGAATCAGTCTTTTGGCACTCACAGCCCGCAAAATCAGGTGTATCCAACAATTCAACTAGTGCTTTTTATCCATTTCAGCCTGATGAATATGGCTGCCCACAATGCAACGCACCAAAGAAGCGGTTCGCGAAATATGATGCAGAAACCGGGAGGGCGATTGGTGGTGCGCTACCACCTATTACAGTGATCGTCAGTTTGATAATCGGCATTGCCGGAGTAGGGGCTTTGCTTGTATATGGCCTTCAATAGGCTGCCAATATCTTCACAGGTTTTTGACTGTGTAACAAGAAGCTCAGCAGATTGCTGGTGCACTCTCTTATCTAGCAAGAAATTCTGAGTGATATATATCAAGGGGGAAAGGAAAAACATGAGTTGGAGGCTAATGGCTAAATGAAAAATCAAATCTTCTTATATGAATGGAGATTAATTTTCTATTCTCTCTTATTTATGGATCATTATTCATTTGTCGCCAAAGGAAGTCCACTTTTCAGAAAATGCTTCCAATTTCATGTCTTCTCTCAACAGTGTAGTGAATTTGAGAAAAAAAAAACCGGATATGTTGGCTTTGTTTGGTTCATCTTGCCATGTACTAATGCCTTCTTTTGTCAGTATGGCTCCTAATCTGAAACTAATCAAGGAATTTGCTAATGAACTGAAATTTCTAATCTGAAACTCTGAAATGAATCCAATTGATTGCATAAGCTTTTTACAATCTTCTTAGATAACCATTAGAATAAAAGCAGTTGTACTGAGTCCACAACTACTGAGTTTAATCAGTTTACTTTGTATGGTTGAAGCAGCCCATGGTAAACTTAATGATATCAGCCATCATTTTCTGTTGCTAAGCTAAGTACCTCCCAAGTCTACATGGAGGCAATAGAAGATTTTGTTCCAGTTAATAACCCCAGCCAAACCAAACAAAAACAAAGAATGACACATACATGAAAATGACAAGACCTACAAATCACTATCCTCTATGCCATCTTTCTCTAAAATCAGTTCATCTACCAGCTTTAAGCAGGTCCCTACCTCAACTAAATTCCAAGACAATTGACATCAGGACACAAGCAGGTAGTTAAAATTAGTTGGAACAAGATGAACACTAATCCACATTTCAGAAACTAAATATTATCAAACCTGGACTTTTTCACTGCTAATGCTACTTACAACTGAGTAGTACTAAGTAGTGTGCTTAAAAGCAGCAAGAACAGAAGTAGCATAAGAAGCAGAAAGAGCTCAAAGAAGAAGAGGTGATCATGAGCTACTACCGGGGTACCTCGCCGGCGTGGGGGCTGGGCCGCCGCGGCGGCGGTGGTGGGCCGTCTCCGGTGGTGCCACTCCTCATCGTGGTGGCCCTGGTCTGGGTCAACTACAACGAGACCCTGACGGAGTGGTACGACAAGGCGGCGAACCTGCCGGGGACGGTGGCCGACAATGCCGTCACCCTGGTCGCCGCCGGCGGGCTCCTGCTGCTCGCCGCCGTGCTCCTCAGCCGCCGGAGCGAGGTGGTGGTCGTGCCGGTGGCGATCGTGCTATCCGTGATGCTGCTGCAGAACATCATGGCGTTCTTGGTCCTGCTGCTGGTGGTCGCCTACTTCGCCGGAATATACTACTACCCGGCGGACGCCGCCAAGTACGGCGTCACCGCCGGCGGCGAGTGGTGCGGCGGCGGCGGATTCTGGTCCGGGCTGGGGTTCTACATGCTGCTGCTGCTGTGCCTGGTGCTGTGCGCCATGTTCGCCGACGAGGGTGTCAGGTGGTGGATTCCAGGGACGCTGCTGGCTGCTTCCCTGCTCTGCCTCAACCTCTTCTCAGGTGGTCAGGTCTTAGGCTATGGACATCTCTGAAGATTTCATCCTTTTTTTTTCAGGAGTTCTTGGCTTCTTGCCATTGCCAGATGAGATCATATGCATGTGTAGAATGAATGAACATGATGAGTAAACAGTATATATGTGTGCAGTGCGGTGTTGTTGATCTATCTAACTATGAACAATTAAGCATTTTCATTTTTCATATAGATATGTTTTTGGCCTTCTGATCAATAGATCTTTTTTCTCTTTAGATTGTGTTGTCTTCTGAGATTGGAATATGATCCAGGATATGATGGTTATTACTGCTTATGGTTACTTGAAATTGGGGCATGTAACTGGCTTGACAACCATTATTTTTCTATTGTGCAGTACACAGCCAGAGAGATGAAAGATTACAAGATAATATGATTCATAGGACTAATAGTCTTCATAAATAGATGGATAAATTATGCAACAGTACACAAAGAGGTACATAGTTCACATCCCGAATTGATAGAATGGTAAGTTGTCAGCAACCAGATTAGCATAGAGTTGTTCAGCTGACAGAAGCCATGTAGCATAGAGTTCATAACTTCTTAAGAGGCTGCAGCAGCAGCCTCCTCCAGGAGCTGCTTCACCTTGGTGATGTAGTCGCTCATTGCTTCCTCCTTCGATTTGCCTGCGAAGATTGCAAAAAGTTCAGTTCAGTAGCACGGCGAAACAGCCCAACAGTATTAGAATGGACAGACAGGAAAACATATTTATGTAAGGACAGAGAGAAGTATATGGACCTTCAACAGCTTTCCATGCATCCCATTTCGCCCTGTCCCTCTGGGCGAATATGCCAGGACGAGCTTCAGAAGATTATAGAAAAAGAAATAGTTAGCAACGTCATCGTGAAATATCTTCGTTAACACAAAACACAGTAACAAGTTAATATAAAGAACTGTTGGCAAGGTAGATCAGATTCATATAAGAATTGACTAATTGATTACAAAAGGGACATGAGGGCAATAGATAGTTAAAAATTTGGAAGTAGCAGTGAGATTTTACAAGTTTGACAAAGAAATAGATAGTCAAAACACATCTAGCATGTAGTAACTTCTACTACTTTTCAGCACAAAACCAAAAATATAGATAAAAACCATGACATTTCACAAACATGTTGTGAAAGGACATAATCACACTAGAAGACTGAATATGGACAGCTATCAGAACTCAGAAGCTAGATGCAGCAAATTTCTATGTTGTAGTGTGCAGGTCAATATCAATGGTTGCACTTGTAAATTACAACTCTACAAAAATGGGGAAGTACTCAATACTACATCCCAAAAATTTTGATGGGAAAGAATGGTCTTGTTTCAAATCAGACAGATTTTTTGGGGGAGTGATAAAAAAAATCATGGTGATCTATGAGATCTTGTGTTAGGATCATAATCCATGGCATGTAAAACTGTACCCATGTCTCTGAATGTAATCAAACACAGCAAGTCATTAACTCAAGAATTGTGTTACACATCCAGAACATGCCTGGCAAAACAGAAGTAACAACTGAATAATACCAAATATTCAGTATACATACCAGTATTGACATCTCCAACGGTGGCCTGCTTGTAGAGTCCATAGAGGATAAGCTTGTTCTCGTTGCTAGTGCTCTCCGGCAAGGTCTTCGCCTTCTCGGCGTACTGCTCAAAATCCTCCTGCAATTGGATATCAGTCACAAATTGTAATCGGATCATGCTTCAGTCACACTGTCACACTAAATCTTTCTTCAGAAGTTGTAATGTTAAGCCGCAAAGCAATGGAAAATTACAATTCAAACGGAACAATTGCAGCATCTTAAACAAGAAGATTGCATCTCATAGATCTTTTGACAAGACTCACTGAACGAATCAGACAAAGAGATGAGAGATGTGTAATAGCAGGGAAGAGTCAGATCTAGTCTCTACGGCCAGGGGCGGATCCAACTAACTTTTCGGGGAACAAACAAACTGTTACCTGTATTAAGGTTAAGGCTCTGAAATTAAGGGAAGAGCTTCTTCCAGATCTAGAAGAGAAGCTAGGGTTAACGAACGAACACAAGCAAATTCCAGACCCGATGGGAGAGAGAGATGAATCAGAAAGAGGATGTGATGCTCATCATGATCCTCTCCCCTGCTCTGCTCGCCGCCCCTCCCCTGGTCAGCAGCGACTCGTCTTGGCGGCGCAAGGAGCGGAGGAGACGGGAGATTAAGAATTTCTTTTACGCCACAAAGGGAAGGGGAAGAACAAGAATTGTTCTAGGCTAAATCTAAGGTACAATACATTTTACACACAGAATAAAATCAATCAAACAAACGAGGGAGCAGACGATGGTAAAGATTTCTTCATCTTTATAGCGGTATTAAGCGTAGAAACGATGATGCTGGTGGATTGAGAGAGTGATCTGCATACCTGCAGACCCATAGCGGCTTAAAGTTTTTCAGATTCTTCTCTTCTTCTTTTCTTGGAATTAACGCCGGCGCCGATCAGGAGAGTGATCGGATCTGTTTTATAGCGAGGTCTGGGAATGTGTAGCATAGCACCAAAATCCCTGATTTTTATTCTACTTATGAACAAGTCCTTAGCCTGAAGCACAATTTTATTTTTTTTTTCAGGAAAGCCCTCAGCGTGATTTCTTTTTTTTTTTTAAGAGAGAGATAAATGTTGCTGTTCTTGTACCAGAACTGAAATTTTATGTGCTGGATTAATTTAAAATGATATGAGAAAACTTCAAATAAAAACCTAACTGTCGTAGAGATCTTCAGCAAAAGTTTGTAGATGTTCTGTTTTCTCATTTTATATTCAGCACTGATGCAATTATCTTGTAAGCAGCATTAGTGTAATGCAGACTGTAGCCAACTGTTTTGGCATTATGTATTGAAGAGCAGCAGCTAATATAACCTACACCAACTGCTTCTACACTCTACTAATAGCAGTAACATGCAAGCAGGAGTTAAGCTGATCTAGGCCAACTGCTGTCTTAGCCAAAGCACTCTGCCTACAATGGATTATACCACTAAATGTATCCTACTGAATAAATTACTCAGTCACTAACTTATGCTCCATTCAATGATTGACGCAACCTGTTCTTATATTCATTTTCTCTGTTTTTCGTTCTTTATTTTATTCATTTTGTAAGTCATTGTTGTATGGGCAAAGCTAGCTACATCCTACATGTCTATCTTGGTCACCGTAAGACATATGAAAGTAGATCCTCTAACTTAACTGCACATGCAGTTGAGTCACTGACATGTGAGTCCCACTTTGCTATGGCCCATATGTCAGTGACTCAACTGCACAGCAGTTAAGTCAGAGGATCCCTTTCCAAGACATATATATATCCAGGTTGTATGATAAGCTCGTGAACTGATAAATACATATGATGTATGATTCGAGTACGTTGCCCAAAGAGATCAGATCATATGATGGGCAAAATCAGACAAAAAAAACTTTTTGATCAATTTTACAATTGAAAACATATTCTAGCAAGAGAATGCAGCAGTCCAGCCGAAAAGAACGGCAGGAAATCCATCAGTCATTTTTTTCCCAAGTGGTGCAAGAGTGGGCACAGAATATCATCCCCTTTCAATCTCTACAAGATTAGATCAGATCCGAAGATGCCATGCCACATTACCACAATGCAAGATTGCCAGCCCAGCAGTGGCTACAATTCAGTGCATTTATGTTTTTTTTTCTTTTTTAGAGCATCAAGCAACAATCGATTCCAAGGTCCACAATCCACACACTGAACCTAGCAATCCTCCTTTTCTAAAAACAACTTATTCCCACAAAGCTACCAGCCAAATAGAAACAATGAAATTCCACTCAAACAGGATAGCACCTAATGATTGCATAATCTGCACAAATTACAGCAGTCAACTCAAACCATGCACCATGCAAGGCTTGTCAAAAAGTCCAGTCAAGGTCAGATAGAAACTACTAATCTCAGTTGATATCACTTGCAGACAAAGCACAAGGTTTTTCACAGTAGTCACAGAAACATTGTAACTCTGCACTGTAGAATCTCTATAATCAGTAGCAGCACTAGGAACAGGCATGTATATGTTGTACTACATGCATAATGCATCTTAGCAAACATTCCTGAAGGTGCACACACAGCACAGAGTAATCGGACACAACACATGGATGGAATCTCATTCGATAGCAGAGCATGCAAATCAGTACCAAATACTCCCTCCATTCCTAAATATTTGGCGCCGTTGATTTTTTTAAACATGTTTAATCATTCGTCTTATTCAAAAAATTTAAGTAATTATTAATTCTTTTTCTATCATTTGATTTATTGTTGAATATACTTTCATGTATATATATAGTTTTGCATATTTCATAAATTTTTTTAATAAGACGAATAGTTAAATATGTACTGAAAAGTTAACGGTGTCAAACATTTAGAAACGGAGGGAGTATCAAACAGAAGGGTATGATGACACCAAAATGATGATAAGCTGGTCTCTATTTCCAGCACAAAAACAAAATTTAGATTTAGTGCCTGATAGCATCCACTAGCTGCTGAATATAACGAAACAGATACTATGTCCGGTCACTTCACTTCTCTTCCTTCTGGCGGGCACCAACATGGCGCTGGTTCATCCTCTCAACACGGAGCTTAATTAGCGTAGGCCTTGAACGCCTTCATCTCATCGGTGACCTTCACAGCCTCAACCGAGCGCTTCTCACCGCGAGCAATAGGCATGTAATTAATCACCCTGGACCTGGGTGGCAGTGGCAAGCTCCTCGGCAGTGGAATCACCAGCCTGACACAAGAGCTAGCACAATCAAGCTCAAAACCAGATCTAGAAGACAATACCTTCGATAAACATATACAAGGAGTCAGGGACAACAAACTGCAGCCATACCTTGCCCTTGTTTAGTCCCCAGAAATTTTTACATCATATTGAATCTCTGGACAATGGAGTATTAAATATAGATAAAAATAAAAACTAATTGTACATTTAGGGAGAAATCGTGAGACGAATATTTTAAGTCTAATTAGTCCATGATTAGCCATAAATGCTACAGTAACCTACATGCGCTAATGACGAATTAGTTTAGGCTCAAAAGATTCATCTCACGGTTTTCATGCAAGTTATTAAATTATTTTTTTCATTCGTATCCGAAAACCCATTCCGATATCCGTTAAACATTGACACTCAAAAATTTTCTTTTCGTGAACTAAACAAGGCCTATGTCTTAAACCTCTAGACATTAGCCTGGAGCCCTCAAGTGAGCGGTTCTTGCGGCGGTGGTCCACGGAAATTCCAATGGTCGGAGTATACTTCTTCGGGATGTTCGCAGCCTATGATTATAGGAGAACACCATCAACACAAATATAAATTTACATATGCAAATGTATTTTTTTTCTACAGATAAGAGCAAGTTTAATAGTATAGTCAACTACTAGCTCCAAATTATCTATAGCCAATATAATAGCCAATTCATACAATAGTTGCTTACTATACTATTAATACATAGTCCTACTTGTCATACACACATTAAGTCTTAGAGTCCGTGCTGCAGCTGGCTATAGATCCGTAGTCCGCTGCTCTTCTCTCTCTTCCTTTATCTCTTTAAAATATGTTTATAACTCGCTTATAGCATGCTATTGTACCTGCTCTAATCATGGCCGGAACACACTCAAAGCATTAGACAATGAAACTAGAATCTTAATCCAAATTTAAATGGCATTCAACACTTAGAGAAGGGGAAGGGGGTTTCTAATCTACTGACAAGACAAAGTTACTTATCTATTATCTACAAGCAAACAGTTCAGATTTAACCAAACAGAGGCCCTGATCAGATCACACATCAAAATTTTTCACCCTATCATATCGAGCGTTTAAACACCTTCATGAAGTATTAAATATAGGCTATAAAAATAACTAATTGCACATATTGTGACTAATTTGCGAGACGTTTTAAGCCAATTGCTCCATGATTTGACAATGTGTTGCTACAGTAAATATTTGCTAATAACGGATTAATTAGGCTTAATAAATTCGTCTCGTAGAGTCGCAGTTTACTGACGGATTCTGTAATTAGTTTTTTTTACACCCTATATAATACTCGATGTGACACACAAAAACTTTACACCCCTGGATCTAAACACCCCCAGGGTCCAAAAGATACACTAGATTGATAAGGGCTACTCAAATATAGTGGTACAACAAGGACATCACCTTCAGCACCTCAAGGATAAAGCCTCTCCCAGCCCTCGACTTCATGTTGTACTTCAAAGTCTGGCACTGCACAATGGGTGGTCCACGAAAATTCTAATGGTCGCGCGTCGTCCGGGTGGGGTTGCGGCGGTAGTGGGGGAGGGGAGGGAGACGGGCGTCGAGGATGATGCTAAACTCGCAGGAGGCATTGGTGTGGGCGAGCATCACCTCCTCCATGTGTCTCGCGGAGTTGCCGCGGCGCGTGCGTTGGTCACGGTGGAGGCGATGCTGGAGGAGCTCGGGCGGTACCAGGTACCGCCGCGCGGGATGACCGCGGGGCATCCGACCCCAGCCACTTCATCTTCAACCATCCGCTGGCGAGGTTATGAGGATGTGGCGGAGGAGGGTAGGAGTGGACGGCGTTGGCGGAAGAGGGAGTCGGCGGGTGGGGAGAACGAGAGGATGCGGCGGAGAAGGGAGAAGACGAAATCAGAGCCAGAGGCCTTAGCAAGGAGGAAGGAATGGACGGCGTCGTTGTGGCGGTAGGACGAGACACCGTCTCCCCTTCTCCCGCATTGGCCGTCGCCGCCCCAGCATCGGCCGCCCTCCCTCTCTCCCACCTCGCACCCGCGGGTCGGCCTGCCCAAAGAATATTGAGAGAGAGAGAGAGAGTAACCGAGTAGGTGGTGTTCTTTTCTCCCGAAGATGAATAGATGAAGATTAAGTTTTTTACGCAAAAGAGGTGGCATTAACGTATGATTGATTGAGTTTTAATTATTACAAACTTGAAAAATAGATTAATATGATATTTTAGAGCAAATTTCATATAGAAAGTTTTCACACGAAACGCACAATTTAGCAGTTTGAAAAGCGTGCCACGAAAATCTTAATCTTCATCCAACTCTTTGTTGGAGAAAAGAACGGGACCTAAGGGAGAGAAGAGAGGATGAAGAGAGATGGGAAAAAGAGGGAGTGATAAAGTGGACACACTGACATACGGGACCCATGCTGACTCAGCTGCCACGTCGGATAAAACCGGGTCAAAACCGTCTAGGGACCCAAAGTGACCCGGTTTTATAAGTTGAGGGATCCCATATATCTGGTTTTGCGATTGGGGGATAATTTTGTAATCCGATGACAAGATGAGGGACCTTAGATGTACTTTTTCCGGCCCAAGTATAATTCTTCCTCTCCTGTTGATGTTTCTCAAAAAGAAATAAGTCTATTTTAACTCCCTCATCTCGTACCCTTGATCAATCCCATCCCCCAAACCGCAAAACCAGGTATAACACCTCCTTCATATTTAAAAACTAGTGCAAATCGACTCCTTTAATGGTTTCGAAATTGGTTTTTGTAGGTGGGGCCATATATTTTTGCCATACCTCATTGTCATG